CATAGTGGTTTCTTTTAATTCTTTCCGATACATGTAACAGAGCGTCTCTCATCCAGTGTCTTTGGAAATAAGTATGACTTCTATTTTTTCCATCTCAGAGAAACGCGTGCCAGCCAAGCTGTAAATCGAAGCCTTCTATTGCTAATATTATTTTATCCTCCAGATTAATCCAATCTTTAATCCAAGTACTCGCTGCAGCCTGATAGTATAACTCAAAGTCTGGGAGAGTCAATCCTCCCTTACTTCTACTATCCTGCATTAATTTGTATTTTACTCTCGCTTTTTTCTTTTGCCAAATAAATTTGGCAATTCTTTTGTTCAGATCTTCAAAAAAAAATTTCCCTAGTTTGACTGGCACGGTTTGAAAGAGATACAGTAATTTTGGTAATACATTTGTTTTGATGGTTGCTATCCTTCCCATCCAAGAAAATTGTAAATTTACCCATCTGTCTAAATCTTTCTGTATCTGGTCTATCAGTTTGTTTATCGTGGAGCCAAATTCCCAGATATTTTACCCTTTTCGTCGTCTGAATCCCTAATTCCTTTGTCAGTTCTTCATTTTGCCTTTTGGTACAATTTTTAGTTATTATCTTAGTCTTTTCTTTGTTGATTTTGAGTCCTGCTACCTTACCGAATGCCTCTATCTCTTGCATTAAATTTTTGCTTACTCAAGCATTTCTTATTTGTTGTTGAAACTTCAACATTTTTCTTGCTTCTGATGTCTGACTTACAGAAGTGAGACTGCTGAATTTATTGTCTTCAGAAGGCTCTGTTGCAACTGTGAGTCTGATGGTTAATTCCATCATCTCTCAGTGTTCCATCCCATGGTTGATTGCTGCTCTGCAGTTTCTTACAAAGAATGTTCCAATATGTTATATACCATTATTTATCAGGATTACAACAATGAACCCAGTGTAACAGTGGTGGTATTCAAATTTTTTCCCTACTGGTTCTGTGGGCATGGCTTAATTTGTGGGTGTGGCTTGGTGGTCATGTGACTGTGTGGGCATGGCTTGGACACATGACCAGATGGGCATGGCTTTATGATCACATGACCAGATGGTCATGGGTTTGTGGCCATGTGACTGGGTGGGCATGTCTTTGAGGCCATGTGGGTGGGCATGGCCAGGCGACCATGTGACCAGCAAACCAAATACAAGTGGTCCTCGCTTAATGGCCGGTTGCTTAGCAAGTGTTCTAATTTATGACTGATCTCCCCAGAGCTACTTGACCTGTTTTGGAGTTTTGACAGACACACACACACACACACACACACGCTTACTTACTTCTAACCCTGCTATTCAATGATTCTGTAAGGATCTCCTGCTGGAGGAGGGGCTTGGACTAGATGACCTCCGAGATCCCTTGCAGGCCAGCCTAGATTGCTGTGTGCTTCAAAGAGTCTTCTGAAGCCAGGGTTTGTGTCCTTCCTCTCCTTTTTTTCTCTCTCTCCCTCCCTCCCTCCTTCCATGTATTTATCTACCCATCCATATATCTCATTCATGGTCTCCTCCCTCCCTCCCTCCCTCCATCTCTTTCTTTTTCTTTCTTTGTCCCTTCCTTCCATCTCTCCCTTTCTTTGTCTGTCCCTTTTCTTCTTTTCGCTTCTTTTCTCTTTTTTCTTTCTTTTTCTTTTTTCATTCTTTTCTTTCTTGTCTCTCTCTCCCTTCCTCTCTCATTCCCTCTTTTTCTCTTTCCCTCTCTCTCTCCTCCCCCCCCCGTGTGTCTCGCTCTATGGGTCTCTCCCCCCATGTATCTCTGTCTCTCTCTCTCTCTCTCTTTCTCCCCCTCTCCTTATCTTCCCCTCTCTCTTCCCTACTCTCTCTCTCTCTTTCTGTCTTTCTCTCTCTCTCTCTCTCTCTCTCTCTCTCTGTGTGTGTGTGTGTGTGTCAGTGTCTGTCTGTCTGTCTCTCTCTCTCTCTCAAAGCCACAGCTGGGCCAAGCGCTCTTCGCTACTTTCAAGGGACGGCGGCGAACAGAGGAGCTTCCACAGGGCACGAACCACCCGAGTGGAAGGTTTCCCCCCCCCAACCTGAAGACGGAGGAAAGCTGCATTGACTTGCTTTCTTCTGGTTGTCGTGCAGAGCATGGCGAGTGATGGCGTTTGGGGTGGTGGGGTGAGGGGGAGGGAGAGAGAGAGGCTGAGCTTTGCAATATGCTGCAGGATGGAGCTCTGCATCGTTTGAGGGACTGTCAAGCTTTGCAGCATGGAGTGGAAGGTGGGGGGATTTGCAGACTACACTTGGCAGGGCTGGGGGAAGAAGAGGTGAGGAGGGGGGATTTGCAGGCAGTAGGGCTCAGAAGAGAGCGCGTGCAAAATCTGTTTCCATTCTTCCCAGGCCTTTTTCTGCCTTCATGGGTGGCATCTTCTGCAGCATCAGTCGCACCCCCTTTTCCTTCGCTCATCTCTTTCATGACCTGAGGTGGGGTGGGGGATTGAGCAGTTGTGTGTGGGGGGGTGGAGGGCTGAGAGGGGGCGAGCACTGAATGGAATCGCTGAGGGGAAGGCAGCATAGGAAAGAGGCAGCCAGCCAGACCCACACACAGAGCAAGCAGAGTGGTGGGTAGGAAGCCCCTGAAAGAGGATGGGGGAGAGGAAGAAGGAGAGCTGCGGGCAGTCCAAGGCACCTTGTTTTGCGCGCTCAGCTGGTCGACTCCCCCAATGCAGCCAGCTTCTTTAGCTCGGGGCGGCTGATGGCTGGGGGCGGGGTGAAACCACCACTGCTGCTGCTACGCCGGGACTACTACTGAGACTGCCGCTGGTTTGGCTGTGTGTGTGTGTTTCCCCCCCCACTTTCAGCGAGTAACACCGAGGCTGGCACTTGAGGAGATAGAGGTCCCATGATCGGCTATCGCCAAGGAGGTGGTGGCGGTGAAATTCAGCAACGGGGACGAGCTGATGCAAAAACGCAGTCTTCTCCCGCATTGGGGGGGTAGGGTCACCACGCGTGGACGGGAGTGGGTGGAAATGGCAAGCACACATGCGCATGTGCCTCTGCGCATCTGGAGCTGGAGGCACCGGCGATGTTAAATGGAAATCGATTCCAGCGCAGCTGGCAATCCTTGTTCAGCCAGTCCCTTGAGGCGACCCTTCTCCTCCACTTGCGACCGACACACAGACACAGACACAGAGAGTGGGGGAGAGAGGGGAAGATAGGGACCTGGCCGCTTTGCTATCCCCTGGCATCACCCTTACCTTCTCAGGTCAGGCAAGGGAAGGGAGGGTGAGGGGCGGGACCAGCTGCTAAACCTGGGAACGGTGGCTCCTGGCTAAGCCGGCTGAGGGTCTGCTGCTGCAGGCATTGGCGACAAGGGGGGCGAGAAGCCGATGCTTGCGGGCTGGGCTGGCCTGGGCTGGAAGAGGTGTGTCCGCCTCTGGGAGAAGGAAGAAAACGTGCTCCGGGAGGGTGGGCAGGCAGGTGGATGTCCCGGGGCTGCTGCACATGCGCACATCCACCCAAGCTGCCCCATGGCCACCACGTGGTACGGAAAGCTAGGAGAGCAACCGGGACAGGCGGGCGATGGGGCGACCTGGTTCAGGGGTGTGGCCAGCCAGGGGTCGCCACCAGTTCTGTGACCCACGCCAAATCACCACTACCGGTTCTCCCGAATAGGTGCAAAATAGTTGAATAGCACCTCTGCAGTGTAATGCTATGTAAAGTAATACACAGACATAAATCTGACATTACAAATATCAGCATTCACAAATTGGGAGTGGGGATGGGGAGAGAATGCTATAAAAAACAAATGAACTAGTAGGTTGAACTCTATTTCCTATAAAGTAAATTCAAATAAATATCATACTGCAAACTGCGTATTTAATCAGAGATTGCCCACTGTGACAAATAATTAGTAGCGTTTATACCTTTTATATTTAATTCCATCTGTGAAGGGTTACGCCAAAAAAAAAGGGTTTTATTAACACATTCTTAAATTGATTAATGAAACTCATTGCTTAGCAATAAAATATATATGGAAATTGTTTGGTTTTAAATTGTTTAGATTTTCAAATTACTTGAGCAATTTATGACTTTGACTTTCACACTTTAATAATGTTGATAAGAACTGGAATAATGCTCTACTCTCACTACTTTTGTTCTGAGGAGAAATGGCAACTCATAGTTATCAAAATATAACAGCTATTATCATTGGTTAGCTTGTCAGCATGAGTTCTTAGACTAGACCCATCAATTAAAATCCTGTTCTTTTGAACTGATGGGGTTAAAATAAATTGTGACCAAAATGTTCCATTAATTAGTTGTACCATGCCTGATAACAGAATGACAGAGTTGGAAGGGATCTTGGAGATCTAGTTCAACTCCCTGGTCAGGCAGCAAACCCTACACAATTTCAGACAAATGGTTGTCCAATCTCTTCTTAAAACCTCCAGTGTTAGAGCATCCACTGTCACATAAGTAAGTCTAGACTCTGACATATATCTTAGATACTTTAATATAGATTTAGTGCTTCAGTGAAAGGGAGGGAAAGAAGAGAGGAAACCTGGAAGTGGTCTCTGTTTAGTATAAGGAATCATCTAAAATGAATTGGTGCTTTCTATCACCCAGAAGGCAAGAATCAATAAACTTGATAATAAACCATTGAGTGGTTCTAGGCTCTTGCCACATCTGTTACTTAATTTTGCCCAGATTGAATTTTTTTTTCCTGATCTTCTTTTGCTTCAAGATTTTATACATAACTTGTTTCCTTTGATTCATTTATTAAAAACACTGACTCCTTTCTTATCCATATTTTCTAATGGCACTGGTAAAAATACAAAACTATTAAAACCAGTCTAAAAAGTAAAGCCTGAGGTAACCTTGAATACAAGTACATATTGTTTTTGTGGCTATAATATAGAAGTGTTTTGCTACTGCTTTTAGACCTTTTTTCAAATCTAGTTAGCCTACATTCAGTAAAGTATCTAGTGATCGATGATCACTGACTCATTTTTTCCCATGATTTATTTTATTTTATTTCTTCTTTTATATGTGCTCTTTCAGGTTGAATTCTATTGATGTAAAATATCAAATGTGGAAACTAGGTGTTGTTTTCACTGATAATGTAAGTATGTAATATTAAGTCAATATTAATTAGAGTACTAAAATAGAATATTTTAAATCACTTTTCAAAATTATTCATCAAATTTATGGGCAAATAAATTGGATTGATGGATTCTCTAATTTTTTCTAGGAGAAGACAAATTATTTAAGGATCTGACTGGGTCTTAGCAGTAATAGTTCACTATTACTGCTAATAGGGAAATTTCCCTTATGTTGTTTTTTCTTGAAATTTAATTGAAGCACGGAATTAAGATGATAAAGTTATGTAAACCTTTATTATGAAGACTTTATGTGTGCATTACCTGTTTTATTCTTTCAAGTTAAAAACATGTTACTTCAAAAATTGATTTTAAAGTCCATTTGGATGTTACAATTACAGCTACAGTAAAAAGAAGTTTTTATCTGACTGTATGTTCTTTTCTTAAATCTATTTTGTTCCTTTTCTTCCAAAGTCTTTTCTGTATCTGGCCTGGTATATGACCATGTCAGTCCTTGGTCATTACAACAACTTTTTCTTTGCTGCACACCTCCTTGACATAGCAATGGGATTTAAAACATTACGAACAATTCTATCATCAGTGACCCACAATGGGAAACAGGTAATAGCTCTTTATTCTGTCATTAACTTTGTGAAAAGTTACATGCCTTTAAAATAAGGTTTACCAAGAGGAACATTATATAATTATGCCAACCATGAAAGAAATCAATTGTTTATTTAAAAATTTGGAGGAAATGTAATAAACTCTGAATTCTACTTGTAACTCTACTTTTGACTCATTTCCATAAGAGTCCCAATACATTTGATCTAATAATAAAATTTAGGTATACTCAGATCTATTTTTATTTCTTTTCAATCAATATTATTCCCAATTCAGCATGATTTCAATTGCACGATTGTAATACATTTATCTATATATTTTGCTCATGTAAAAGATTACAGAAAGTCCCACCCAACTTCAGTTGGAATTACTGCCATGTAGCAGAAGATTATTGCTTTTCTTTACATAATTTATAAATTGTTTAATATGAAGTAGAAATCAAATGAACATTGATCTTCTTATGGTTTTTAAAAAATAAGTTTACAATCAAGGGAATTCCAAAATATTCATTAATTTATTACTTCTTTTTTTAGCTTGTACTAACTGTTGGATTACTAGCAGTAGTAGTTTATCTATACACAGTAGTTGCTTTTAATTTCTTCCGAAAATTCTACAATAAGAGTGAAGATGGAGATATGCCAGATATGAAATGTGATGATATGCTGACGGTAAACTTCACTTTTGTTTTTCTTCTAATTTGTTAATATGATTTTAAATGGGTAAATTTTTAAGAGTGGAAACAGTTTCTGTTTACAAAACACAAAGGGATACATCAGCAACCCAAGCAACCTCTTCAATAAATTCAACACATGTTTCATCACAAGAACAGATATAATGTCATATTCCACTGAGAGAGAATGAGGCAGGAATGGATTCTAAATTTCCTGGTTTCTAGCCTGATGCTTTTAACTACTATATCAACCTATCTCTCAAACTGTGGTTACATTCTGTAAATTAACGGAAGCAAGCAACAGAAGCTTGCTTCTGTTAAACTTATTGAATTGGGTAAAGTATTAAACTAAGAATCATTTAGATGGTTGGTATTCATTTTTCATACTTGTATATTGTTTTGAATATATAATGTTCAGGGTAACATATACATTCATTAAATGAATATACTAATATTATATTAATTAAAATAACAGTGTGGGGACCCCAATGCTCTCTGAGCTTGGTTATTTTCTTGAAGACATTTAATTACCCAACTAGGTAACATCATCAATGCTAGAAGGGAGTGGAGTTTGCTCTGTTTAAATTCAGGTGTCTTGTCCTGTCGGTGTTGGCAGGAATATTCTTGGTGGTTCCTTAATTAGGCTGTTGTTTACTGTTTGATCGTTAGTCTGAGTTGGTAGTTACTTGATTAGGACATTTACTAGTTCAAGCAAGTAAGTCAAACATCAGCAAGAATTGAGTTCCCTCCTTCCTCCTTTCAAATAAACTAGTAAATATTTACCAAAATAGAAGGTAATGCAAAATGTACTTTTTAAACTATGAGAACTTTTTCATGTTGCTTGTAGTGCTATATGTTTCACATGTATGTGGGAGTGCGTGCTGGTGGTGGAATTGGTGATGAAATTGAAGATCCTGCAGGCGATGAATATGAAATATATCGAATCATCTTTGATATTACATTTTTCTTTTTTGTAATTGTTATTCTACTAGCTATCATACAAGGTATGCTTCCATTATTTTTATCAGTTTAAATGTTTTTTATAATTACCAAAATCACACTTTCCTAACTGATAATGCACATCTATTTTTTATCACAGTGTGAAATGTATGGTGAAATATGTAAACTTCTTGTACCTAATATATTTGCTTCTGTTCTTCAATGTTTGAAACATAATCTCAGGTGGAAGACTAAAGGCAAATTCCTCTAGCAGCAGAATGAATTCTAGGGTTATTTCCTTCATCCTTGGTGGGAAAAGAATTGTTGAGTCCTTTACTCAATCCCTTATGAAGCAAATATTTTTTTCCAGGCATTGAATAGAAATATAAAATGGAAGGAATACATTCTAAGTCAAATTTCTTAAAATGAGGAAGACTGGTTCTTTTCTCTTATGGAGGAAACATAAAGATTTTGAACACTTCAGTTTTAAATCTACCTGAGGATATTATATCAACCACATGCAAAGAATTAAGAGCAGACAGATGCATTTTCTGTATTTCTCTCTTCCTTTGCTCAGATTCTGACTATGTAAATTTCTGCTTCGGCATGCAAATTATTAGAAAAGCAAAGGTTTACTTGAAAATGAAATTGCCTTTAATTTTGTTATCCTCTGCATTGTTCAAGCTTGATTTTGAGCCACACCACTAATAGATTTTATCATATGGTGTATCCTTTGGCAATTGCAATGTTTATTTTCTGTGTAAAAAGTCTTGTTGAGAGGAAGGAAGAGGTGATATTGAAAACAGGTACACATACATATACACACAGATATACATAAGCATACACACATGCATAGACACTATTTCTCTAATTATTAATTGTATCAAGAAAACTTTGATTTAAATGACAAACAAGACCATTTAATCTGTGGGGAGTCCTCTTTTTCTTTAACAAATCAAATCAACACAGGTAATAATTCTATTTTGAAATTAGTACTAGGTTTCAGGCTAGTGATTTCTGTAATTTCATGTATCAGATCAGATGCCCCAGGGGTCCCCCCCTTGTTTGGTAAGGTAGCTAGTTAAGTACCATTATAAATAAAGTAGCAAAGGCTTTCTTTCACCCCCACAAAAAAAAAAAAAAACTTCAAATGTTCCCTTTGGGAAGACTTGATCATAATGTTAGGATGATTCCCATTGGGTCATTCTAGAAATTTTGGGGAATACTGCCAGACTGCTAGATAGAATGCTGCAACTCCTTAATTATTGAAAGAGGACAGAATTTTCTTTTGTTTTTTGAGTGTCATGAAATCTGCCACCAAATCTGTCAAGAAGTACACTTTTCTTCATCTGTATTCCAATTTATACCCAACCTTCTCAAGGTCTACAGAAAGTTTCCTTATTTATCATGGGTGACAAGTGGCCACTTAAAATGGGGAAAACTGTGTACACATAATACTATACCAAAATTGACATGACAGTTTGGAACAGCTTTCAAAACTCAATGTATATCATGGAAATTTTGTTGCTACAAAGAAGTTCAGTAAAGCTGTTGAATACTGTATCTAATAGTTTGTAGTATACTATCTGGCTATTGTATTTGCAAATCTGCACCAAATATTTTCAAAAGTACGTGGCACTTTGTGGTGAAGCATGAATCTTCATATTTAGCATTAATTTGTTGATTTGGCAGTTTTTGTCCTAGTTCCTCAAAAGTTTAAATTATAACCTTATTGCCAGGCTTAATTATTGATGCATTTGGAGAATTAAGAGATCAGCAAGAACAAGTTAAAGAAGACATGGAGGTAATAATTTTATGTATTCCCCTTTTGATTCATAAATATTTCTGTGAAATACCACCTTCTCCATGCAGTGGCAAGAAAATAGTTTCTTCTTTAATTAAGTATAGAATTGAAATGCGGAAGGCTACAGAATAATTGGAGCTGCTTCACTCCTGTGCATGGGACTAGATTGGATTTGATCATGTGTTATAAAGTCATTACTGACTCTTATTGTTCACCTAGATAGATTTTTCTCCCTATCAATTTGTACTAAATTGGTCTTCTAGGTTTTCCAATGGTTCACCATCCCCACTATAACTCAGTCCATTTACCTTGCTGCTGATCATCCTCTTCTTTTTGCTTCCATCTTTCCCAACTTTTGGTTTTCCCATAATGTGTCTGAAGTAGGATAATTTGAGCCTAGACATTTGTGCCTCGAGTGAGAACTCAAGGGTTGATTTGTTGAATGATCTATTGGTTTGTTTTCTTGGCTGTCCACAGTGTTCTCAGGAGTCTTCTCCAACACCAAAATTCAAAAATGTATATACTCTTTCTTCAAACTTTGAAGCCAGTAAGATAGCCCTCTATGTAAAATAGGAAACATTATTATTAAGTAATAATATTCAAACGTGTGTGTTTATCTATGAAGTGCCATCATTGTCATTGTCAACACAATAGTCAAGCAGGTGGTCTTTCTGGAGCGAAGTGGTAGAAATTTTCCTTTTAAACTCAAAAGTGGGCTGAAAAAAATCCAAAGAGATTGGCGATGGTGAGAGAACTTCTTTCTCTTTTGTTTTTCTCATACTATCCAACTACCCAATGACTTCAAAATTGAAATCATTCTTTATTTTGGTCTCTAAATTGGTCATCAAAATCAGACATGCCTAGAAAGTTTCTCTCAGGGCACATCTCCAAGCTCAGCCTGTAGCAGAAGGGACTTGGGGATTGCAAAGGGGAGGGAACAGTCAGAAAGATCCAGATGGCAGCTTTGATCATAGTCATGGATGTAATCTTGTTTTTTTTTTTAAACCATGTATGTGCCTGATTAGGGGTGTGATTTGTCCTTGCTGATGCACTATCTCAGGAAAGAAACACATGGCACATGGCAAAATAGTGCAGTATGAGGGTCTCTGGATAAGCACATTTTGTTCTGTGTTTGAAATAACTAAAATGCAAGAACAGAATAGTAAAAAATGCCAGCCTTAAGTTTAAAATTATTCTTGAAGTGTGTGGAACGCTCACAAATACGTGCATGTACATACAAACACAGAATGAAATTGAAGCAAATATGTTAACAATATATATTTTTCTAAATTCTTTTTAGACTAAATGTTTTATCTGTGGAATAGGTAATGATTATTTTGATACAGTGCCACATGGCTTTGAAACACATACTCTACAGGAGCACAACTTGGCTAATTATCTGTAAGTATACAAATCAATATTAATGTTCTGTGACCTTTTTAAGGAAATAAAATTTGAACTATAGTCTTTCAGTAACTTGTAATTTTGCAAATAACATGTGGTAATTTGTTTCTAAATATAAAGAGTATATTAGACATAATGATTGTATAGTTAGCAGCATGTAAATTGTGTGTGCCTGTATGTGTTTTGATAAAACACTTATATCTGAAATTATGTTGTAAATTTGATGACTGGATTTGGAAATCCAAAACATTTCTCCAACAGAAATACTGCTAAACTGGCAATTCAGAAAATACATCCTATAAATCCTATTATATCACATATATGTAAATCCTTAAAGAATGCCTGAAATTTAGGGATGCTTTATTTTATTTCTAAATTGTGTTATCATTAACTTTTTATAATGAATTTATAATACTATTGATTGTACTTTCTTGAGAATTCTACTGATCTGAAACTAGATCTTGTTTTAGCATCTCAGTTTGGAGAATTCTCTTCAACCAGAACTTTCTAATTTGTCCAGTTCAAGAAAGTTTGATGGGAAGTGGGGAGGAAAGAGTCCACAAACATACAGCTTATTTCTGATCCAACAAACTTCCATGATTGTCTTAACTAAACTCAGGCAACCAATTTGTAAAATGTTCAAAATACTTCATATCCCAATTTTATAGGAAATAGTCCATGTATTATTTTGTATGTTATCAGTAATAATGATCATGGTTTTGATCTCTATTTCAGATTTTTTCTGATGTATCTCATTAATAAAGATGAAACTGAACACACTGGTCAAGTAAGTCAACATCATTTGGATCATGAAAATTGTAACTGTATTTCTTTGTATTTCTTTCATCTATCTTAATGATTCAAGCAATGGCAGCAGGCTATATACTTTCATAGTACAATGCTTATCTGACCCTTCCTGAACTAGCTGAAGGCTTGAGATGTGCAGTTCAAGTAATCTTTCTTAACATTCACAATACCTCAAACAATATATCAAGATCACATGAAGTGTTAGTACCACTTTATAATGTCTTGTAAGACCACAGTTGGAATACTGCATCCAGTTTTGTTTGCCACAATATGAAAAAGATGTTGAGATTCTAGAAAGAATGCAGAGAAGAGTAACAAAGATGATTAGGGGATTGGAAGGCTAAGGTATACGAAGAACAGTTGCAGGAATTGGATATGCCTAGTTTAATGTAAAGAGGGACTAGTGGTGACATGATAGCAATGTTCCATTTAAGGGGCTATCACAAACGGAGGGAGAAAATTTTCCAAAGCACCTGAAGACAGGATTAGAAGCAATGGATAGAAACTAATCAAGTGGAAAACTAACCTAGAACTGACAGTTAAAACAATTAATCAGTGGAATGATTTGTCTCCAGAAGTTGTGGATGCTCCAACACTGGATATTTTTAAGAGGACAATGGACAACCATTTGTCTGAAATGGTATAGGGTTTCCTACTTGAGCAGGGGATTGGACTAGAAGACCTCCAAGGTCCCTCCCAACTCTTGTTATTCTTTTATTTTGTTATATATGCAAGGAATGCATACAATTGTTTCTTTTAAAAGAAAAAGAAGAAAAAGCATGGTTTTGGGGAGTGGGGCTGGAGGATATAATGTTGGGTTTCAGTGTGGTCTTTGGCCTTTGGTTTCTCCTGCATCTATCTCCAGGCACTGCTCCAAGGAAACCTCTATAGCCTTTTCTAAAATGCCAGTTAAGGCAAAATGCTCTCCCAAGTGCAGCTTTTGGGCCTGAGAAGTGTAGATCCTCTATTCTTGCCTAGACTAGATTTGGCCCTTTCAAGGATGGCCAAGGTAAGACAGGTATGAAGGACACTGCTTGAGGCTATCAGTTGAAATGGGTGTGGTTGATGGGTGTGACATGTTGGGAGGCTTTCTTCTGTAAGTTGAGGTAAGGTCTGCAGGTTAGACTACAGGACTGATTGGGTAGCATTTCAAGAGTTCATGGCAAGAACTGGGTACTCTCATCGTGCTGGGGCTCCTTAAAGGTCTCTATCACGTTCCTTTAAGCACTTCTATGTATTCCTTTGGATGTGTTCCTACCAAATTATCCAAATTATGTAGTTCCTCTTTTGAAAAAGTTAAAATTTTAAAAAGCAGACAAATAAATGAAACACTACTAGGGATGGACCAAACGTTCCCTGATATTTTCAGTACAAGCCTTGTACTATTGGAGTTTCCTTATGAAATGTTCCTCAGCCTTTTTTTCCTCCACATTTCTTCTTCTTTTGCTTCAACACTATCACCTGTTCAATTGTACAACATTATTCTAACCTATTATTTTACCTTGCCATCAGCTAATTACACTTTGATTCTTATTATGTAACAATTCTACATAGCCAATCAAATTTGAAAACAGCCTTTTCTGGTCCAGTTATACTAATAGCACAATCAAGGTGGCTAAAGTTGAACCTTGTTTTATCTAAATTCTTTTTTTCCCTTTTTTTGGACAGGTGGTGTACTCCTTGAGATTGCCCGCACTTAATTTTTTTTTTTTTTTTTTTGCAAAATATTTTTTGTTTTTAGCTTTATTTTAACTGAAACAAAAATGTTGAGTCTATTTGAAACTGACACATAAAGCCACGTACAGTAGTTTGGAATATAAACACAGCTTCTGTGATCATTTCAAAATTATTTACCGTAATGATTGAAAAATTCCAGATGGCATGAAATGTTCTAGATGTTCTAAAGTTATCTTCTGTGTTTTGCAGGAGTCATATGTGTGGAAAATGTATCAAGAACGATGCTGGGAATTTTTTCCTGCCGGTGATTGTTTTCGAAAGCAGTATGAAGATCAACTTAACTAATTGTAATTAAGGACCATCCCTTGAGATTCCATCAACACCTTTCCCAATTCCCTTGGGAACAATCATCAGATTTTCCAGACCCTTTAAACAGGATGCTGTTTGGAGCACCAAAACCTTTTTTTTAATGACTCCTCTGTTCTTTTTCTTCCGAATTTGCTTTGAGAATAATGAGAACTTAACTCTAGCAAGAGAAGAAGAAAAAAAAATCCCACACAACAAATCCCCATATGTCACATGAACACATTTACACAAAAAGAGACTTGTGACAGATTTTTTTTTTCCTTCTGAGACTGCCTGATGACTTCCTTAAATAGGAGAACATATGTGGAATAATGTGATAGTCACATTTCTTCAGTCATTTATTTCATCATCCTGGAAGGAATTCTGTGGTTTGCAGAGGGCTTTAAAGGATTCTGGGGGACACTAAGTTGTGGGGAAATAGTGCCTTACTATATGTAGGTTGAGCTATGCAGAAGATGAGTGCATGATGACATCTTATATTTTCTTTATCTGTCCTCTCTTTCCCCCCAATTTAATATTTATTTTATCTTTTGGAGGGATATGGGTGGGATTAGATTGTGTACACCTTTTTAATAAGATGATGGCGTGTCTCAGGATAAAAAGTAGTAGTTGGATTTTTTGTCATTAAGTTAAATTCACAGGAATCTTCCTCTTTCACTCTTACACTTATTTTGGTAATGCTGTGATTCAGCACTGTAACTTTATGAAATCTTTGTATGAAAACAAAAACACTGCAGAAAAATGTTAAAAGGAATTATTTTATTGCATGTTTATTATGCAAGTTTAAACAACAGAAAGCAACCTTTTGAAGCAAGTTGTTCAACATGAAAAAAATCACAATAATATTCATAGTAATCAAGTGTTGTGGGCTTTATCGTACATTTGAAATCAGTGTCATCAACCCACAAATTATGTGTGTATTATGAACTTGCCAGTAGTTTGGTTTCCTTTTTATTTTCTGTTCCTTTTTTGCTGTTCATTTGGCCATTTGTGATCATTAGTGGAATTAAAGCTTTTCTTAAGTTAGTTTTTAAAATCAAAGGTAAAGCAATATCCATTCAGGGATTTTATTAGTTGCATCATAAAGCACCAAGAATGTGTAACACTCCATGTTGAGTCCTTTTTAATTGTAATACCAGTCAAATAAAAAGAAAGATTTGGAATGGAAGTAGAGTGGTTTTCCTCTCCCTTGGCTTCTTTGTGAAATCATTTCAAAATGAAGTGTTTGTGATTTTGGTTTATTTGGTGAAATTGTACAGGAAGTTCTATACTCCTAATGTAGTGTTACTCTTGTTCTGAATTTTCCTCCTCTTTATATTAATTGCAAATCATTTGCTTATCCACAGTTTATGATAGAAAAAGAATTATTAATTCTGTAGCTAAAATGAAGATCCTCATTTTATCTTGTGCTAGCTTAACTTCTAAAGAAATGCCTTAAAACTCAAGATTATATTTCATGTATCTATTGAATGAGACTCACCAATTTGCAAGTTTTGCTAGAAGCCACAAAATTATTCATCATAGGAAAAAATGAAAAATATCCAGAAAACGTGGTTAGCGTCTAGTAGTCAATAAACCAATTGGTTTGTGACTGTGTGTTGCATGTAAATGTTTGGAACACTGAATATTGAATGTCTCTTAATTTTTCAGTGATATTTTATTGTGTGAAATTTCAGGCTTCTACTCCAGCCTACAAGATCATTTTACAGTATAAGCACAGAGAAACTAGCTGCAAATTTACCACATATTGGAAATATTCTGAATTAGGCCAAGTAAGCAAATTAGCCTCTACTCTGAAGGGTTACTGTTTATTCAGTTTTTGATTATCAGTGAATAAGAGGACACTAGAATATTTCTATTTCATATTTTAAGATTACAATGTTGAAATGTGTTTCTTAAGGAAATAATTTCTTCAGCATTAGACAGCCTAATAGCTGAAACATACTTTTGTAATGTAACATACTTTTCTGTTGTGCAAGACAAAATTGATCTATTTCTGGTAGTTAACTTTCTAAAAAGACATTTTGACAAGATACAGATCATTTCATCAACAATTTGGAGGTCCTTGTTCAAATTTCTCTGTTACAGTATTCTGAGTAACTACGTTCTTCAAAATTGTCTTGGTATAATTGGACTTATCATGTAGTCTTCAGTGTTGGACTGTTTAAAGTTTTCTTTAGAATCCTTATTGCATGTAAGGACTATTTTTTATTTGCCTCACACTGTCACGACTTCTATAGCTGAATTTGCACCATCAGACCAAGTAATTGTGCCAAAGTTTCTTTGTATTTCCCTACATCCCAAAAGTTGCAGTGGATTGTGACGGCAGATAAATTGTGAAACTCAAATTATCTCTACTTCTTATCTCATGCCCAACTTTCTCCATACTCTTAGAGCTGCAATACTGAAACAACTAAAATGTTTTTTCCTACTGACCTTAGTTTTTAAGGTCAGTGGAGAAGTTCCTTCTGCATTGATCATTATATCTCATTTGTGTTGTTCTTAATTTCTGCTGTTATAATGAATTGCTGACCTCTTCTGTGAAATTACCACGACTAATAATATTACTTTTATGTAGGTCTTTCTTTAGTTACCAACCATCTGAGACAACTCTGGAAACCTAATTATTTTAATTTCCACAATGATTTTGAAAATTTTGATTGTTTCTGATTTCAGGCTTCTGTTTTATGAAGTTTAGCATATCTTGCATTCAAGGGAATCTATTTCACATCTAATAAAAATGAAATTAATTAGAACATTTAATGGGATTTAAGGATTAATTAATTATTATTGAGTAAAATGTTCTCCAGTTCTAGACTGAGAATGTTTCTGAAAAGATTGATTTGATCTTTAAACCACTGAGAAAGGGTTCAGTGGTTGGTGGTATGCCTAATAAATTAAATTAATTGACTGCTGAGAAAAGAAATAAAGAATCTATAATCATGACCAGTATAAATTAAACTGTTTCTATAATTTCTCTGTTTTCTACATTTTGGTTATGAAGAAATGTATGGGAAACTATTTGAAAATAACCAGGGTAGATTAAAATTTCTGGGTTTTTTAGTACCATCAAAACCTAATAATTTCTCTAGCAATTTTTGTGATCAGTTTTCTTGTGGTTTGATAACTAAGCAACTTGAGTCATTTTCACGCCTATATAATATTTCCTTCATCACAAAGCACAAATAATCATGAATTTAACAATTTTTCAAAGAACATCTCCACTCCTGGATTGTGAAGAAGAATCTTGGCCATGTGTTAAGTTCTAGTTAAGTTGATTTATTGCTAATGCTTACACATAAGAATCTAGTCAACTAATGATGAACATGAAATTGGTGCTAGGTTAACAGAATTTAATGCCTCTTGTAGAAACTAATGATTTCAGGCTGATCCATCTCTTGACTCTTCCCCTGGGCTCTGCTTTTCCTCCTCCTACATTGATCTTTGCAAGAGAAAACTCAATATTTTTTTCTCCTGCAGATCAGCTTTATTGGATAGATGTTCCATTTGTTCATGGGAGTTTGTTTTTGTGTGTGTGTGTGCGTGTGTGCACCCTTTGTTTAGTCTGTTGAGTTCGACTATTTTGCTCCTCAGCAATAGCGACAAGTAGAATGAAATGTGAAAATGAACAATGGTTCCTTAAAGCATTCTTTCTACAATTGTCTAATAGTCTTTGATATCACCACAGCCAGGTATAGTGTTCTCAATTTTAATAGACTCTTAACAAAAGATGTCTGCTTGTATTGCTCCTTGTGATACTGGCCTCAGTGGAAGTGAGCTTAGGAAATAAAGCAGTTATGTGGATCTCATTAATCCAGTCAAATCCAGGCATGAAGTCCACACACTTCAATTTGGGTCAGAGGATTCTTAAAGCATTGGAGCATGATATCAATAACTCATAAATATTTAGATTCCTGCACCAATCTCTATCCTCCTTGTTAGTGTTTGGGGATAAACCCCTAGCAGAGTATGCAGCAGCAGT